ACCCTAACATTCAACAAAACAAAAATTTAAAGTTAAAAGAACACACATTTATACATTTAAAAACCTAAATCTTACATTTTAATGTTATTTCTCCAACTCTATTTTCCTTCATTTATCTCTCTCTCTCTCTTTTATCTTCTTCTTCTTTCCCTCTCACGATTCTCTCTAAAAACACAATTTTCTCTTTTTTTTTTTTAATTTATATTTATTAACTTTTTATTCAATTATTACAATACCCCTTATTCATTTATACCTACTTTTAAGCTTTTAAAGGCTTTATTGACTTTTTCTACTCAGTTATTTCAAAACATCTCAATTTAGTGATGAATAAAAAGTTAATGAAAGATAAAGAAAAGAAGGTGAATATTATTTGTTATAGAAATTTAATTGGAAATGTATTGTACTTGACAGTTATAAGGCCTAATGTAATGTTTGCAACAAGTTTGCTTTCTAGATTCATGAATTCTCTAAGTCATTTTCATCCTAAAGCTACTAAAAAGGTGTTAGATACAAGACACTATCAAGTATGGAATTAGATTTGACAGAATTTTTCAATTGAAAATAATTAGACTTTGTAATTGAGATTAAATTGGATATGTTGATGATATAAAAATTATTTTAGGTTATGTTTGTTTTTTAATTTTAGTGCAGGTGTATTTGCTTGGTGTTTGAAAAAACAATATTTAATGGCTCAATTATCTGATGAAGTTGAATATGTTTTAGTTAGTTCAGCTATTCAACAAGCTATTTGGTGAAGAAGAATTATAAAAGATATAGTTGAAAAGCAAGAAGAGAACATTAACAATGTGATAATAAATCACTTACAACAATGGCAAGGAATTCAGTTTTTCATAGTAGAATCAAATACATTGCACATGAACATTTCATTCACAAAGCAAATTAAGGAAGAGTGGTTATTATAGATTTCTGCAAATCAGAAGAGTAGGTGGCTGATATCTTTACAAAAACATTGTCAAAGGATAAATTTTAAAAGCTAAAAAATATACTAGGAGTTCAAGCTTAGATAAATTTTAAAAGTTGAAAAATATACTACGAGTTAATATTAAAGTTAATATGCTGTAACTAGTAAGTTACTGCGACAACTATTTAACTTTTACTTTGGTTCTTTAATTTATGTTAGAAAGAAATTAATTATAGTTAGATTAAAAGGTGAAAGAAAGTAATTATAATTAGATTAAAAAGTGATTAAGATGAAAAAGTGTAAGTCTAAGATATGTTGGTTTTTTGTATATATATCTGAAAGTTCTGGAGATGTACGAGAGAAAAAAGAAAGAAAAGTGTGATAGTTTTTACGGTGTATATCTCCTCTTGTTCATGCTATTCAGCAGAAAATTACAGCCTGGTTTTCTCCCTTAGAACCTGCATTTTGATGTTGTTTTAACCACACACAAGCTAATACCACATCTCACTCTGGTGCTTGAGAAGGCTCAAATTCTGGAGTTGCTCAAAGAGAAACCACGCGACCTGCAGCCCATTTTCCCTTCTATGTGCTCTAAAAGGGCCCTATCGACAATGAAAAACTCAAAATCCACACCGTATCACTATACCAATTTTCTTGTAAAGTTTTTTGAAAAACAAAAGTAAACCCTCCCGAGAAGTTGAGAAGGGAGAAGAAATCCATGAATCGTTTTTCTAGTCACGAAGTACTTTGCTGCTTCAGGTTTCAAGGAACTAACAGAAATAATAGAAAAGATGCCTCTGCAGGCTATGAAACCCTCCACTACAGCCTCCCCAATCATCCCTCTAGAAAAGATCCAACCAGCTTTACCACTTCCAAATGATGATGGAGCTGCACCTCAGAGTCTTCCTTCTAATGAAGCTACACATAGTTGCTGGCAGTTTGCATGCCATTATGGTATAGTGAAAATGAAAAGAAAAGGAAAGAAAGATAGAGTGAAAAAGAAACACAATTTGGGAATTGTGACTTGAATTGTATTGTATTCCAATGATTTTTCTATTGATCCTATTATTGTTTTTATGATCAGCTTTTCTTCTTTCTTTTGGTTATCTTGGTATGGTTTCTTGAGCAAGAATCTTGAATCTTGATTGTGAGAGCCTTGTTTTCCAATTTCAGTTTTGTGGTTAGAATAGGAACATGCATAAGTTTAGTGTTTAAGCTTTGGCATCAATACAATGTTGTGTTTGGGTTATTGTAAATTTGTCTCAAATTGGGGCTTATCACATTTATAGCGAAGGAGCTAAATGGGGGTGCAATTGTAGGAACGGGAAGTATAGACTTTGAAGAAGGAGGCGGTCAAGGGAGATTTGATGGAAATGTTGCTTAGGGAATGGAAAAAGAATACATGGCGGAAGTTGAGAGGGAGAAGATGGAAAGACACTAAGTGGAAGAAGTGAGAAATGAAGTAGAGGAGCGTCAAGACGTGCGATTTAAGGTCTTTGTTGGAGGGTTAGATAATTATGCTACTGAGGAGGATCTCGGGAACGATTTTGATAAGGTGGGGGTGGTGACAAAAGTGAGACTAAGTCAGGACCCCGAATCCCATTGGAGGGTTGCTTTCCTGAGGTTGGCAACTGTTAAGCAGGCCAATTATGCTATCTATGAAATCTCAGATCCAGTGGTATGGTTCTTTTCTTTATTTTATTGTGTTTTCATTTAACTTGTTCAATGTGTTTGTTTATAAAAATTGTGAATCCAAAATGGTATTAGATGCTGCTTTCATGCTTTGTAGAGTATAGAAAGTTGCTATCTTCATGTCTTCAGGCTGCCAGTTCTTGTTCTGTCACCTAGATTGAAAAGCAATTTTCAAGCCATATTTCTTGTACTGGTAGTTGGGATATTTTCCTGTTCATCTGTAGCTACTTTATGGTAGTGTTTGGTATACTGGGCAGTATTGATGGATCATTCTTTTCAGGCGAATATGTGGGCAGTATTGAGAATTCTTTCAGCAGGTATTGCTCAAGGCAGTTGTTCTGTCACACAGGAATTGGCCGGGAATGCAAAGTTCCAAAGGATTCTCAGATGCTCCTTGCGCTACAGATCGTGGTAAGAAAAGGGGTCCAGGTTGTATGCCATATAATTGTGGTCCTAGAGAATCATTTAGCCCTAGAAATAGAAATGCAGCACCCCATAGAGTTGGAAGGCAAAGGCAGAAGAGGTTCGCACCAATATATCCGAGGAGAATTTGATTATTGTTATGTCTCTGTACAACAGTGCAAGACCTCTGCTCAGTTCATATAGCTCTCTGCTTGGATTATGGGCTTATATCTATGGGTTTTTTTTTCTTCGTGCTTGTTTTAGATTGTCTGATACATTTTCCATGGACATGTCCCTCGGTAATAGGAGACTAGATTGCTGGACACTAGAAATTGTGCCGTGCATGATTAGACTAGTTTGGTGACATATTGACATAGCCGAACCAGAATTTCTGAAAGGGTTCTAAAACAGAATTGTAATCCTTTATGGAGAGGCAAACAATTAGAGAATAAACTATTCAGTAATAAAACACGGTTAGATCCTTTAATTATGTCTGCGACATAATCCCTCAACATATATGAGGAAAAAAACTGAAATTAAGGTCGAAAACCCGAAATTTAACAGGAGAGTAAAATAACTAAATCAAATCCTATCTTCTGGGCTTTTTTCAAAGTTTTTCTCGATGTGAGCCGACGAAGAGGGCTGGCCCCCATACCTGCGAAATCTCGGAAAAATTTGAGTGTGATCTAATTGTTCAAAACCCCAACATCACATATTGACAGGATCCATTGGTCTTGTTTCTTTCTACTTGAAAATTTGGATCAGTGTTTGCCGGTGTGCAAACAATTGAAATATTATGCAAAAAAGAACTCCTTGGGACTTGGATTATTGGTCTCTACATCATGTTAATGATTCATTTATAAATACAACAATAGAACACTTGATAGATCATTCTTCTGAGAACTGCGATGAGCATTTTGGCTGCCTGCTTGTCACAGCCAAAATTGTCCTGCAACAACAGAAAACTCAGTAGAGACTACCAACCTATTGCTTCGATTCAATAGACCTAACAATGGTGAAAAGCATGTCTTAAACAATTTATTATGGATTTTCAGTGCAAGTTAAAGGAAGAGTGCTTAGGCAAAAACCAAGCAAAAGAGAGCACTGCGTTTCCACAGCTACTTACACGGTTCCACCACTTCATGCGACAACCTTTTTCTCTGTCAAGTCTAACGTGCATAGAAAAACGTTGTTGTGTATCTGGCTCGACCCATTAGCGTTTATCTGTGATACCAAAGGAACGTCCTCATTGAAAAGCTAAAAACCAACAGTCCAAATCTGTTTCTGTGAAAAAGTTGACAAGCTTCACGATCATGCATCATCAGTTTTCCGCAACTTTTGTTTCCCTTCAAGAAACAAGTTAAAAGAAAAGGAAATATCAAAACCTTATTTCTCTTTAATTCTCTGTATTTTTTTCAGTTACAAAGCATAACTTTGCAGCTTCTTCAGAGTTCAAGAAACTAACAGAAGTAACAGAGAAAAATGCCTTCACGTGCAGTGGAACAATTCTCTACTGGAGCCGCCGACACCCGTCCCAAAAAGATCCAACCACCTCCACCTCCAAATGATGGAGCAGCACCTCCGAACAATCTTTCTCTACCTTCTGATGATGGTAACATATATAGTTTCTCAATGAGCACTGCTAGTTTGCTTGCCATTATTATATAGTGGAACCAGAGAACACAATTTACGCATTGTGGCTTGAATTATGCTATATGTCAATCATTTTCTTTGGTTTCTGCTAGTGTTTTTGTGATAGGACTTCCTCCTTTCTTTTTGTTTTTGTGTAGTTTCTTGAACAAGAATCTTGAATCTTGATTGTAAAGGAACATGTCAAGTTCTTCGATATTCTGCAAGTTTTCTTTTACTTTCCTTCTGTGCATGTCTAGAATAATTATGTTTGTGTTAAAGTTGATGGCGAGAGAATTGATTGAGAATCCACGTAGGTAAAGACTAACGAGGAAAGAGTTGTTTTCCAATTTCATTTTTATGGTTAGAACAGAAAAATGGATATGGTTAGTGTTTATACTTTGACATTCTATTGGTATAACAGAGGAAGTTAAGAGGGAGAATATGGAAAGACGTGAAGTGGAAGAAGTGAGCAATGAAGTTGAAGAGCGTCAAGATCTGCGATTTAAGGTCTTTGTTGGAGGTTTAGATAAATATGCTAAGGAGGAGGATCTCAGGAAGGTTTTTGGTGGGGTGGAGGAGGTGACTAAAGTGAGACTAAGTTGGGACTCCGAATCCAAAAAGAGGGTTGCTTTCTTGACGTTTGCAACTGTTGAGCTGGCCCGTCGTGCTATCTGTGAAATTTCAGATCCAGTGGTATGGTTCTCTTCTATGTTTTTATTGCGTGTGTTTTCATTTAACTAGTTCAATGTGTTTGTTTAAAAAAACTGTGAATCCAAAATGGATTTAGATGATTTTCTTCATTTTATGAGAGCTTGCATTAGATGCTGATTTGATGCTTCGTAGAGTATAGAAAGTTTCTATCTTCATGTTTTTCAGGCTGCCACTTCTTGTTCTGCCACATAGATTGAAAAGCAATTTTCAAGCCATATTTCTTGTACTAGTTCAATATTAGTATTTGGATTATTTTCCTGCTCATCTATAGCTACTTTATGCCATGCTTTTTTATTCCATAATTTTTCTTTCCTTGCTTCCATATATAACGTATTTAGATGTGACTTTGATGTTTTAACTGTCAGATTAATGACAAGAGATGTTGGACAGCTCAAATCCAAGATGGCAGTAAAACTCTCTACGTTCCGAATATATGCAAGGAATGGACGAAGGATGATGTGAGTGTTTTGTTATTGAATTGTATTTCCACTTTTGGAGGGAAGGTTCAGATTTTAGTTACTCCTGTTGGGTTGTTTTGCTGTGTAGCTGGAAGACAAGCTTGCAGAATATGGTGTTAAAAACTATGATGTCTTGACCTTGAATCCTGCTAGAGAAAACAAGGAGAAGAACCGGGGATATGCTCATCTGGATTTCCGTTCCAGAAAAGATGCATCGGAAGCTCTTGAACTCTTGAAAAAGGAGAACGTTTCATTTGGTCAGAATCGAGCTGCCAAGGCTGATTTTTCACGCAAATATGTTAGTGGGAATGACGAAATTATGTCACATGTATGTATGTTCTCTTTTACATGTAAAGGTTCTTGTGTATTCCTCTGATCTTTTCCGCTGCCTTGGTCTAATTTATATCACTTCAAGTCCTGATAACTTAGTGAATGATTTCTAACATTTAAGTTTCCCAGCACAGGAAAATAATTGATAGTCATTTGTCTCTACATAAAAATATTTTCTTTATTAATACGCAGAAAGGTTGAACACAATTTCTTTCTCTTGATTATTTGGAATTGGTTTTAGAAAACGTACTAAGGAAAATAATCCTTGTGATGAGATATACAAAACGCATTTATTATTCCAGGGGATGCATTTTTCAACTCATGATATCTTGCATGAAGCTGTTGAGGTATTTTTTGAATTAAAATGATAAGAGATTTTGTTTTCGAGTCGCAATTCTTTCCTATGAACTTGTTGGAATTATACAAATATAGGAATGTTATGATATATCATAAGTATGGCTAGATGATTTTCTTCTTTCTAGGTCAAGAGAGTATATCTAGATGGTATACCTCGTGCATGGAGGGAAGAACATGTTAAGAAGCATCTTAAGGAGTTTGGGAGGATTGTAAAGGTTGAACTTGCCCGCCACATACCTTCTGCTATAAGAACAAATTATTGTTATGTAACATTTGAGACTCATGAAGCTGCAGCGACTTGTGTTACTGGTGTTAATGTTGTTGGGCTTTACTTCAGAGATGAAAGGGTAAGACAATTGCTGTTTACTGTCTTCAATGTCAGTTACATTGCATGATTTTCTCAGTCGAGTGCTGTGTCATCGTTATTTCCATTTAAACAAGACATTATGTTTATTTCTGGTCTAACATCAGAGGGAGAGTAAATGCTGATTTTAAGTTTTAACATCTAAAATGTTTTGGTGATATATTGCATTATAATTATGTCAATGCAAAGTGGTGCTGGCTTATAAAGAAGGACCATTCTTTTCAGGTGAAAGCGTGGGCAGATTTAGCAAAACCGCGAGTGAGAATTCCTTCAGAAGGTACTGCTCAAGCCAGTAGTTCTGTTGCGCAGGAAATTGGCCGGGGAAACGAAGTTCAACAGGATTCTCATCGCTCTCACACAGATGCTCCTAGTGCTATAGATCCTAGTGAGAGAAGTGAGGTGAGAATTCCTTCAGAAGGTACTGCTCAAGCCAGTAGTTCTGTTGCGCAGGAAATTGGCCGGGGAAACGAAGTTCAACAGGATTCTCATCGCTCTCACACAGATGCTCCTAGTGCTATAGATCATAGTGAGAGAAGTGAGGTGAGAATTCCTTCAGAAGGTACTGCTCAAGCCAGTAGTTCTGTTGCGCAGGAAATTGGCCGGGGAAACGAAGTTCAACAGGATTCTCATCGCTTTCACACAGATGCTCATAGTGCTATAGATCGTAGTGAGAGAAGCGAGACAAGTTGTAAACCATATAATGGTGGTCCTAGAGAATCATCTAGCCCTGGAGATAGAAATGCAGTATCCCATAGTGTCGGAAGGAAAAAGCAGTTTCCTTCGCCGGAGAGATTAAATACTGGAAGACCTTCTGGTATGTCTTACCTTAATCATTTTAGTAGCAGTACCCCACCTCCCCCAACGTTCTCTTTTCTTCATCTTATTACTCTGTGTTTACTTGACAGTTCCATCTCAAGGAATTACTCGAGCTGCTGCTCATAGACCTTCTCGTCACAATGACTACATTTATGAAAGAAATACCGAACAGCCTTCAAACTATTATGAAAGTCATATCTGTTCTAAACGTCCTCATTCTGCTGTGGTCATCATCTTGTCAACAAATTTTATTCATATGCGACTGTTATATCCATTTGTGACCTTGTTAAGTCTGTCTTTGTTCTTATCAGGAGGAAGTTTGCCCTCGCAGTACTGAACCTTTCGTTCAACGAACAAGAGCTCGTGTTGATCACGAGAATTCTTCTAGAAATTATTCACAATGGTGCACATTTTGAACACAGCCTTGCCCTTGCACAACTTCATTTCTTTCTTTTGTTTACCTAATTTTGCATCAAGTTTGTCAGGAAGGAGCATAGTTCTCGAATTGGCTATGGAGGACAAGGGGATGCTCACAGACCTTCTCGTCACAATGACTGCATTTATGAAAGAAATACCAAACAGCCTTCAAACTATTATGAAAGTCATAGCCGTGATTACAATTACACTTCTGGTTCTATACGTCCTCATTCTTCAATGGTCAGCATCTTGTCAAAAACATTTCTTCATATGCGACTGTCAAATCCATTTGTGACCTTGTTTAGTCTGTCTTTGTTCTTATCAGGAGGAAGTTCGCCCTCGCAGTACTGAACCTTTCGTTCAACGATCAAGAGCTCGTGTTGATCACGAGAATTCTTCTAGAAATTATTCACAATGGTGCACATTTTGAACACAGCCTTGCCCTTGCACAACTTCATTGCTTTCTTTTGTTTACCTAATTTTGTATCTATTTTGTCAGGCAGGAGCAAAGTTCTCGAACTGGCTTTGGCGAAGGTGCTAGTACCTCTGCCAGGAATTATAGTGGACTCTCTGACACTAGAACATCAACTGTGGCATCCAGGGGATGTATGTGAATAGGAATTCTCATGGACTGTCTGATACATATATATAATTTGTTATTTATACAGTAAGCAATGTTCTATTTGGGTTTCTGTTATATTTTGGACTCTGCTCGGGTAACTTCATTTCTTGCAGGCGAGCTTGATAGAGGGGATGATCGGAGGATGCCTTCTAGATATGGCCAGGATTACACATCCAGGGATCATCCGCGCTCTGCGTCAGATGATGTATTATTATATTCTGTTGAAAATCCCCTAACAGAGTATCTTCTCTGTCTCCCATCTGTTCTAGGAATTTATTTATGTGAAAAACTTACTTCCTCATTCAGGCACATGAAGAATCACACCGATCTGATTACCATCACAGTCGTGTGAAAGATGGTGGCTCAAGCAGCAGAAGAGCTTCACGCAAATATCACAAAGGTGAATTTGGTTGTTGTTAATTATATCTCTATATATTTGAGCTTGGTGTGGCACAACTTGTATATATATATAAACTGATCCTCAAGATGGATAATTACTGCTATGTAGGATGACTGGTGCAGCACCATAAGGCACTCTTAACTAATTCAGGGTTGAATTAGGCTCGCGGCATTTATTACTTGGAGACCTTCAGAAAAGTTTTAGCCATTCAGATTTTGAACTGATTGTGCTATCACGTAATATAATGTTCACTAAAGTGGTCTGATAGAGATGGACAACGTGTGTTTTGCATATAGTCAGATTAGGAGATGTTCTAAAGCCTATTTTTTAATAACGCTAGCTGATCGTAAGGTAATGGATATTCTCGCTCTATGGTTCATAGAATGCCTCACATCAGGTCAGATCTGTTGAAAAAAGCTCACTGCTTGGGTTACACCTGCATTTTCTTTTTGCATTACTTAATGGAAAAGTAAATGACGCAGTTCCATTCAAAGGAGTTCTTCGATTTTCGCGATCGGGTTATTGGTGACATATTGACAGGGTTTCTTGTTTCTTCAACTAGAAATTTGGATCAGTGTTTGCAGATGTTTGAACCAATGAAAAGTTATGCAAAAATGAACTCCTCAGAACTTGGATTCGTGCTCTCAGCATCATGTCCTAGATCGATTCATGAATACAACAATGGAATGCTTGATAGTTACGAAAACTGTGATATGCAGTTTGGCTGCATGTTTGTCTCAGCCAAAATTGTCCTTCAACTACAGAAAACACAAAAGATGCTGAAAGACTGCTTTCCAGTAACATCGTAACCCTTGCTTCTGTTAACTCGTGCCTGGCATCTGAACTTCTTGTTGATTTTGGATAAGCAGCTTGTCAAGGTGCACTTTATAGGCTGTGAGAGCGTGGATTTAGACCTAGCCTGATTCACTGCAGTCATTTCCTTCCATCTAAAAAAGGTGATCACTAGTTCATCTTTCATTTAGTGAAGCTTGCAATAATACTTCAAGAGAATGTCCTTGGTGTTGGTGGGAGAGATTAGTGGTGGTGGTTTTGAAACACCGTGAGCGATAAAATACATTGTTTAATTTTAACAATAAGAAGCTTAAAAATAACTAAAAGCTTTTTAAACTCATCCTCTTTTTTTTTTTTTTTAGTGTTTATCCCTTATATTTTTCACGCTATAGTATAAACTTTAATTGTCTGTTTATATACAAATTAAAATTAAAAATAATAATAATTAAATTTCAAGTGTGAACATAAATGGTTGGTAATGGTGTGAAAGCAGTTGGCGGCTGTGGTCGGTGATTGCAGTCAGTGGTTGTCATTTTTTACTTTTTAAATTGAGTTTATTACAACAAATTTTTCCTTTAAACTCAATCAAGAGATATCATACCAAACATGAACTTTATTTTGATAAATATTTCACATTTTAATGGCTTTGTAAAGATATCTACAACTTAACCATTTGTTTTGCAAAATATCAGTTCGACTTCTTTGTTCTTCACATGCTCTCGGATAAAGTGATGATGTGTATCGATGTGTGTATCGATGTGTTTACTTCTTTCATGATAGCCTGAGTTTTTTTGTTAATGCAATCCCTAATCAATTATCAACATAAATCTCTGTAGGATTTTCTTGAGGAAATCTCACATGCTTTAGCATATTCGGTAATCATATTAAATGGCATACAACTGAGTAGACAATAACATACTCAGCTTCATAGCTTGATAACGTTACTATCAATTGCTTCTTGGATGACCATGTAAAAGATGTAACTCCCATAAAAAAGATAAATCTTATTGTGTTTTTCCTTTCATCTAGATCTTTACCCCAATCACTATCTGAATAGCCAATAAGATTGAAGTTTTTACTTTGAAGTATAGAACATACCTTCATTTATGATTCCTTTAATGTAGTGGATTATTCTCTTGGCTATATTTAAATGAGACTGATCTAGTGTCTCCATACATCAGCTGATAAGTCCTACTCCATAGAATGTATCCGATCTTGTACATGTCAAGTACCTCAAGCTTCCTATTAAACTTTTATAGTAGGTTGGATCAACATTTCTAACTTTACTCTTTCTTAATTCCACTCCATTCTCAATTGGAGTTAATACCAAATTGCAGCTTTTTATTTTGAATTTTTCAAGAATATCTTTGGCATAATTGCTTTGAGATACAAAAATCCCTCTTTCTTTTTGCATCACTTCTAAGCCAAGAAAATGTGTCATTTAACCAATGTCTATCATTTCAAACTTTTGTACCATGCTTTCTTAAAGTCTTTATACATGGTAGAATTATTGCTAGTGAATATTAAGTCATTAATATATAGGCATGCAAATAGTGTGTTTTCATTAACTTCTATCTTCACATACATAGTGTGTTCATATGGATATTTTTCAAAACTATTTTCTTGAAAATACCTGTTAATTCTAGTATTCCAAGCATGCAGAGCTTGCTTTAAACTATAAAAGGCTTTCTTCAACTTGTATACATTGGCTTCAATGTATCCAAGTGGTTGTTCAACATAGATCTCTTCTTCAAGGAAGCCATTCAGAAATGCTGACTTCACATCGAGTTGATAGATCTTCCATCTATGTTGTGCAACTAGTGAGATCATTAGTTTGATTGTCTCTAGCTAGGATACAGGAGCAAATACTTCTCCATAGTCAAAGCATTCTCTCTGTTTGTAGCCTTTTGCCACTAATCTTGCTTTAAATCTTCATACTTCACCTTTTGCATTCTTCTTTGTCTAATAGACCCATTTGACATCTATTACTTTCTTGTTTTCTAATAGATTAGTCAATTTCTAAGTATCATTCTTTTCAATGACATGTATTTCTTCATCTATTGCTTCTATCCACTTTTCTTTTGTAATAGCTTTATTGAAGCTAAGTGGGTTACTAGATGCAAATAAATAAAATAAAGTTGTATCTTTAATGACTTGAGTAGTATCGTACAACTCTTTTAGATTTCTCATCCTCTTTTGTTCTTCTGATAAGGATGCTGATGAAGGTGTTGATGATGATCCTGGTGTATTTTTCTTGTAGAATACAAGGAATCTATGTACTAGAGTTTGTGGCTTATTTTCTGGTAACATTGGACCATCTGTAAGTACTGTTGGTACTTTCATTTTGTCTTCAAAAATCATATCAATACTGATCCATTTGACTATTTCTTGATCATCATTCCATTACCAAGTTTTATCTTATTTAAAGATAACATCTATATTGATAATTACCTTTTTTATGATAAGATTATACAACTTGTATCCCATCCTTCTATCACCATATCCGACAAAGATGCATTTCTTACTTTTCTCATCGAGTTTGGTCTTCTTACATCTAGGATCTTTGCATATGCCACACAACCAAGACTCGAAGATGAGTAACACTTGGTTTCTGACCATTTGTTGTGATGTTGCGGTCGCACAAATTAATTATCCTAGCTTAAAACACACAAGATAGTATAGAGCAAGCAAGGAGTCGATCCCATGAGGAAGGTTTAGTTCAGATTTTTATGCTATACGTTATACAATTGGGAGGGGTCTGATTTGTAATCATTTAAATTATGGTAGAAATTAAACTAGCAAACAAAATTAATTAAAACTAAAATTTATCAAGAAAACAAACCTTGGTCACAAGCACACATCCACCTATATAAATCAAAACCGATCCTTGAAATGAAACTCCAGTCTATATTTTGAATTTTTTATCTTTTTTTAATGTTAATTAATTAACAGATCCATTGTAAAACTAATCCTAACAAACAAACAATCATAGTTTCTACACTAATGATTTATTCCAATAGCAGCCTTAAGATTTAGATAAATTCATTAATCTTAACAACCAAGCTGTCCGTAACTTATGTTGCTTTGATCAAATGTTCTCCCTAAATTTAATAATATAGTTCCACCATAATTATCAAGCTTAGTTGCTTCACAAGTTTATATACCACAACTCCAATTTTGATATCAAACTTAGCAATAGATTGTTCAAAATAATAACTTAGAGTTTGCTATAGCAATTAAGATAAATAATCATAGGAAATATGCATAAGAAAACAAGCATACTTATTCATAATACAAACTGAAAATAAATGGAAGAATAAATCTCATAGTTC